ACCCCCCCCCCCCTTCTCTTACCCTCTCACATCGCTACCAACCTTGAGACACACTCGCGTACACTCCCTTGACCTAGGCTCTCTTCTGCAGTCTGCGGACCACATGGAGGCTCCGGACTCGCCCACGACATCCCATTTTTTGGCCACAGATTCGACGCTTTCAAATCACCCTCTTCGCACGGCCGACGGGTAATATTGTGATGCCCACCTATAGACGACACCAAAACACGCCTTTCGTCTCTCTAGAGCAGGGTAAAGTGATCGTGGAGAGTCTTGAGCAGTTGTTTTGAATCCCCGTGCTCTGGGTAAATCTGCATGCAGTATCGAGGGGGAAGGAGTGGTTGTCGAGGGGATTGAGCATGGTGACAATGTGAACCGGGATACAGAGAGCCACCTGTGGATAATATGTACGATGGTGACTTCCCCATCGTGAGCTCACACAAATGGCGGTCCCAGCGTGACTCGATTCCCCTTTCTCTCGCACAACTAGTCAACCGAGAGCACGCTACGATCGCGAAGCACTCTAGGTGGCACACCATTGGAACTTGCCTCGAGAGCTTTCACGCACATTATGTGGGCCTCTTGTAAGTCACCACTCCTATATGCCAAGAGTGCTGCCAAGCCAGAAGTCGGTGTGGAACGTGTAAGGGAGGGGGGCAGAAAAGATAGAGGATGTGAACCAGTTCAACGCGTTAACAAGCAATCTTGTACAGTATGCAGTGGTTTGACGATGATCTCTTCGTCACAACGTCAAAACTACACAACCGCAGTTGGTAGACTACCACTGCTGTACATAGTCAAGACTAGTTGCCGATCCAAGCAATAGATGTAACCAATCAGAATGCACACAGTGCCACCTGTCTCTTTTCCACCCATCATCTCAGTGACCGCAACATACTCCTCACCGGCATTGTAGAAGGGCTCGAACAAGTACGGCGCCAGCGTTCGCGCCATCTTTAAGTTCGACCTTGCGGCCTCGGGGTTCTGGACGTGCAAGCAATGTCCAGAATTATTTATCAAGTTATTGGCGGCAAGTGAGTGCGCGCACAGGAATAGCGGCGCAGACGCATCAGGGAAACAGACGAGCGACGAGTCAACATCATGCAACACAAAAAACAACACACCCACGACACACGTCTAGGACATAGACGAGTAAGTCGAAGTGTTAGACGTATACAGGTGCATAGCAGTGTGCAGCTGAGAGGACCAGCGAGGTGTCAGACGCCATCATGTTGCACTAAGCAGCATTCTCCGCTAAGGCCAGTGTCTGCCTCGTGTCTTTCTGCATCTTGTGTCGTTTTCTGGGTTCAGACTCACGGTTTTTAGGAACATCTGATGTATCTGTTATGTGAACCCCCCAACTGGGTGGAAGTTTTTCTATCAAACGATAAACAAACACGGATTTTGGTGAAGGTCCTGCGCAAAGGGCAGAAAATTCGTATTTTCATAGACTACATGAAATGCAAACAAGGTTGCGACGACAACAACAACCACCAACGAGACTCCATGGACCAGGCGTTCGCGCCTCACCTGCTTTCGAACCTCGAGAGTGGCTAGATTACAGTACGACTCCGCGTGGTTGCTATCCACTGATATCGCGATCTTGAAGGCCTGGAAGTCATTAGCGGGCGAGACGGACGAGAGCCGGTGACAAAGCGGAAATCAAACCAGTAGGCGAAAGAGAAACGGTCAACAGTTACCTTCGGTGGGAAACGTTTGGTTTTCGGTTTCGCGTGCGATGTCGATCGTAGCAACACGAAAAATCTTCAATCATAACGACTTCATCTGTGGGGCACGATTCCATCCGGATCCTCGTTCGTTGTTTCGATTGGGCCTCTGCCAGTTGAGCCAGACTGTACTCCGTTCTTGTCGGGGCCATATGTTCTTCACCTGGTACGCTAGCCCTAGGTCTCCGATGCCGATTGCCACGTGACCAACATTGTACCTGCCAGGGGAAATGTTAACGCAGAGAGATTTCAGCATGGAGCGCGATCAAAAGATCTTGTCAAGGCTCCTACTCCCCTTCATCCTTCCTTCTCTTCTTCAATCTAGCACGTGGCAAACTACCATGTGAAAGCAGACCTACCTGCGACGTAACCTTCTCTCATCTCACCACAAGCTTCGTTTAAAGCTGCAAGGACGTTACGTGCGCTTGCCCTTTCTACCCACCACACGTCCGCCGCGGTGTCGTCGGAGGCCGCTGCCAGCGCACTCTCGAAACACTTGAGGGCCATGTCGTACTGCGCGGCGTAGAAGCAGCAGAGACCCAAGTTCTGCCACACCTCTGGGCTGTTCGCCCCCATCTGTAGCAGTCTTCGGTAGTAGCGCAAGGCCACCTCCGGCTGGTCTGCTTCGGGTAGTGGATGTTTGGTATGAGAAATATGCAATACTTCCAAAGATATGGGAGGGCTCCTTCGTGACGGAGCACCGTCTACACCGTCTACCCGACGTACAAATTCGTTTTTGACCGTGGGAAGGATCGAGCGTTCAAAGTTTTGTGTGCCCCAGACTTGGAGACTTGGAATTGGGCAGGTCGATTCCATCCTTGTGTAGCATGGTTGACCGGACGACAGTCTTAGAAGAAGAAAGTTGCAGTCAGGTGCTACTTGAACTTTTTCGAAGCCATGGTTCTTGGAAACCTCCACAAAAAAAGGGATTGCTTGAGCCTCTCTCCGCCATACTTTGTCCAAACGTCCTCTTGATCACAGCACGCCCAATGTTGCTTACTCCCCCCCGAACAAGCACGCCTGCCAATTGTGCTTACCTCCGTAGAAATGATTGGCGGCCAGGCTTGCGATTGCTTCGACGTTGGAAGCGTCCAGGCGAAGCACCTGCTCAAGCAACCCCAAGTAACAAAAAGAGGCGACCCGAGAGCACAACGGGCGCGGGTGTTCTGGGAGGGTGGTGTAAAAGGGGTACAGTTCGTGCAAGGTGCGCAGGTGCTGTGAATACTCACGCTCGCCGTTGAACACAGCCGTATTTTCGACAAAATTGTGTTCTCTGTCGGTTGGTCGGTCGNCATTTCGCCGAAAATACGCCTTGCATTTTTTTTTCCGAGATCAATTTGTACTCTCTCTCTCTCTCTCTCTCTCTCTCTCTCTCTCTCTCTGTCTCTCTCTCTCTCTCTCTCCCTCTCGCTCGTGCTTACCTTTTTATAGAAGACAGAGGCGTTTTCTCCGTCGTTGAGCAAATCATGTACCCTCGCAATGGCCAGAAGGATTCGGCACTCTCTCGGGTGCTGCTCGCTGCGCGTAGCGGACGGGGGAATGGAAATAGACATGCCCTGAAAGGGTTGTACGCACGGGGTAGCTGAAAAAGGGCGCGGCCTCTCCTAAAAAATATTTTTAGTGCATATTATCACATGTAGTGTCCGGGGGGCTTCGTTGCATCGTTGTTTTCTTTTAAAGGTCATTGTGGCGTTCCTATTTGGGAATACCTGGAGCCGTCACCCACGCCAAGGTTAACGTGAGCCGAAATGCTTTCGGTGCGTTTCCCGATGCACATCAGTAAAACACAGTACGTCTGGGCTCGTCTGAAAGCCAGGCCAATCGACTAGCGGTTTGGCAGGTAGGTCTTTGTCGTGGGCCGTCGATGGATGTTAGTGACCGATCCTATGTAACGTGGAGGCACGCGTTGGTTACCCGGTTCCCGCCACCAAATAGATGACCTCAAGAAAGAGCGATCACCTGGCCTTGAGGAGGAGGTCTAGTGCAGTGTTCGGTAGGTCAAGCCTGGTGTAGACCTGTCGTCGAGCACATAAGTCACCAACAGAATGAGGCACCAGAAATGTTCAATGGATCTTGTTATAGTTCGCAGCCGTAGTGAAGCAAGTTGTTTGAAGCACTCGGGGGGGGGGCAGCCGAGGGCCGTGGACTCCCTCCACCCCGGTCCGTACCTTGACGAGGTCGAGATAGGTGACGACCATGTCCTGGTCCATGAGAGAAGATTTCAGCTGCCGCTCGGCCTCTCGAAGCATACCTGAATATCATTTCAGTGGGGGGCGGGGGGGTGGGGGGGGCGTACTCTTATGTTTTGCATGCCTTAGCGGTTAGACCATTGACCACGCGTCCTCGAGAGGACGGATCATTGTTCCCACAGGNATATCCCTTCCCGCCTTTTCAACCCACCTCCTATGCCCCAGTACAGCTACCGTCCTTTCCTCTCTATTCCATGCCTCAAACATCTCCCTGTACGTCCCATCGGTTTTTCCCAGCTCAGTCACTTACATTTCCCTCTCCTTCTTGTACAACGGATATTCCGCGACTACATGAACACGGTCTTCGTATTCGAAGCCGCAATCACATTTGAACTCGTCGTCTTCGTCGTCTACCGTCCTATGTCTTCGTCGACGTTCTCGAAGGCCTATGTCCCCGGTCCTGAATTTGACCTTAAGCTTTGTTCCTGCATCCATTGGTCCATGTAGGTAGTCCTTGAACCCTATTCCTTCCTTCAACATTCCGTACANTAGGTAATCCTTGAACCCTATTCCTTCCTTCAACATTCCGTACACTTCTAGACCCTCCATATCTTTGGAGTCTTTCCTTAGATTCTGTTCTTCTCTCTGGGCACA